ATAATATAAGTAAATATATAAATTATTCTTAAATTGTGAAAAAGATAACAATAATCGTTTTGAGATACTGAGAGTACCTTTTAAAAAAAAATAAAGATAAAATGAGATATTTTATAATAAGATAAATAATTAAAATCAAAGAATGATGATAGGACTAAACTAAAAAAAAAATATTTATTTCCTTAAAATATGAAAAAACAAAAACCAACCTCTAAAAATTTTTAAGTCAAACAACCACTATTATTTTGCAAAAGAGAGTAGAATTTTTGTATATCTTTTTTGAAAGGCCAGGTAGAATTTTGTACATGAATCTAGAAATTAAGCTAAGAATTTTCAAATCGCCAACTATCCTCGAAAGCATGTAATATTCTCAGAAGTGGGGATTGTGGTTTCGAACCCAACCCCTGCCCTACCATTTAAAGGACAAACATATTACTGAAATAACTGCCAACTTCTAAAAAAAAAAAATTAAATTAAAATTTCCAGCAAATACACGGTATTATGGTGTTAGTCAAGCAAATGAGGTTGAGTCTTTCTTTGAACTTCAGTGCTTGGGTGGTCCCAGAACATGCATAGAAACATACATTTCATCTCTATTACTTATAAAGTTCCACCTATACCGTTTTCTAGATCTCAAATCTAATAAGCATTTGAGGAACGATAGAAATGATGATCATCCGAACATCATCTATCTTTGCTTTCTTAGTACTGCTAATGATAAAATCAGCAGCAGACCAGGCTCTGGTGAAGCCTGGTTGTCAAGAGTTTTGTGGGAATGTCAGCATTCCATACCCCTTTGGAATCGGAACAGGTTGCTACATGAGCAAAGGGTTTGAGCTCTACTGTGATAACGTTTCCAATCCTACTAGAACTTTACTAAACAGCGCAGAAATTGAGGTAGTGTATTTCTCTCTTATTCCCAGCTTTATTACCGTCAAACTACCCACAAACTGCACGAATTGTACCAGAACCTGGGCACATTTGAATCTTTCTGGAAGTCCTTTTATGTCCGTCTGGTCAGGGTCCATGTTGGAGGAATATGTTTTAGGCGTGTTAGAATGGGCGATTACTGATAAGGATGTATTACAATTACCACATACAAATGAGAGTGCATTTAATTGTTTCGAGTTTAATGGTCGTAATGATACCGTTGGTTATGGTTATTACAACGATTCCGACTTGTTCTCATTGTATACTATTGGTTATGGTTATTACCACGATTCCAACTTGTTTTCATTGTATAATTTATCTCCAATGTCCCGGAACGCAAGTCAACGATGTGGTTGTGAACGTGGATTTGAAGGCAACCCTTATCTACCTCATGGATGTCACGGTGAACTTCAATCTCCACTTTTTCTCTAGTTATATCTGTGTCTCGTTTCTTTTATTTATAATATTTATTATTTACTATTTTTTAACAATCATCTATCA